CCTGCATTATAATTCTAACATCATCCCTGATCTTACTTTGCTTGGCGGAAGCAAGAAGAGTCACTGTGGAAGTTGGGGTTGCTGTCTACCAGGGACGACCCTGGCTGACCAAAACTTTCCTTAAACAAATAACATGTACCATATATTTTGTTTTAATAAAATTCAGGAGCACATTGTTGAGTGCTGACTTAACATGGGCAGCAAACTTAAAAGACTACACTGTTAGTGTTGGCACAGGAAATTACAAAGATTGCATCAAACCTCTATGCTGAGACTACTATGCAGCAGACTTATCACTTCAGATATAAGTAGCTAGTAATGGAACTATGAATGGTAGGTACTGTACTGAAGGCTCTGACATCAAGTAAACATTGTCATACACCAGACCAATATACTGAAATGGCCCTTCATTACAAGCATATAATTTAGGTGTAAAGAATACAGTCTGGCAGTAATATACTAGAGATGTGCAGAAGAATATGAAACTGGCCACATGCACGACATGAGACTTTTCTATAGGATGCAGAGAGTAAGACTAGGATGTTGTGTAGGCTGTTCGGAGCTGTACGTTCTGATTGGAACAGCAGAATTCAGCTGAAGGCTGCTGGAGTTCGAGGCTCCTACAGGATCTGTATGACATCAGGAGGAGTCAGCATCCCTGACAAACTGTCTGCTGAAAAGTACAGCAAGGTTTAAGATGCCTGTACAAGAGGAGAAAAAATAGAGAGAAGGCAGAGTAATGACCTCTCTGTTACACTGTACAAACAATATACTCCCTGAGCGAGCACACTACTTATAGAGGCGCAGCGTGGATTTTGTTTTAATTAATCACTATGACACTTTCCAGGATCCATGGGACACAACAATTGTTTGTAGGGATGTGCAGAGGTAGTATAGCTGGTTCTTCTTGGCTTACAAACACTTGGTCACTCAGCCTTGCGGGACTGTTCAGTGAAAACAGTGAAAGATGGTGTAACCAGTAGGTTAGTTTTTGGTGTAACCAACCACCACACTAGTGGGTCATACTTACCTGTCATGACTTCATGTGCTGCACCTCGTCTCTCTCACTCTAGTACACAAGTTCAACTTCCTGCCTGTGACTCATTCATCAAAACTAAAGTACTGAACACAGGCCTCTCGGCTGAGGGACTGTTTACCTGACGCTTCTGTAAATAGTTCTGCAGGGTTCAGGGACTGAGTACCTCTATCTACTGTCTTCATATATGTACTCTGAGAAGCTTGGTGGAACTTCTTCGTAGAAATATAACCAGGTGCTTCACATGTCTAATTCCCTAATATTTAAAGTTCAGATTAAAGTTAACTTATAACAGATTTGAATGAGGTCGTTCATATATTATTGTTGTGTCTCATAAATCTGTAAGACAATTATGAGGATCTTGATTCAAAACCTTTAATTTGAGGCTGAGAGTCAAGAAGGAATGTTTCCAGTGTTGCAGTAGGTCAGCATGGTTGTTCATCAGTGTTGCAGTAGGTCAGCATGGTTGTTCATCAGTGTTGCAGTAGGTCAGCATGGTTGTTCATCAGTGTTGCAGTAGGTCAGCATGGTTGTTCATCAGTGTTGCAGTAGGTCAGCATGGTTGTTCATCAGTGTTGCAGTAGGTCAGCATGGTTGTTCATCAGTGTTGCAGTAGGTCAGCATGGTTGTTCATCAGTGTTGCAGTAGGTCAGCATGGTTGTTCATCAGTGTTGCAGTAGGTCAGCATGGTTGTTCATCAGTGTTGCAGTAGGTCAGCATGGTTGTTCATCAGTGTTGCAGTAGGTCAGCATGGTTGTTCATCAGTGTTGCAGTAGGTCAGCATGGTTGTTCATCAGTGTTGCAGTAGGTCAGCATGGTTGTTCATCAGTGTTGCAGTAGGTCAGCATGGTTGTTCATCAGTGTTGCAGTAGGTCAGCATGGTTGTTCATCAGTGTTGCAGTAGGTCAGCATGGTTGTTCATCAGTGTTGCAGTAGGTCAGCATGGTTGTTCATTAGTGTTGCAGTAGGTCAGCATGGTTGTTCATCAGTGTTGCAGTAGGTCAGCATGGTTGTTCATCAGTGTTGCAGTAGGTCAGCATGGTTGTTCATTAGTGTTGCAGTAGGTCAGCATGGTTGTTCATCAGTGTTGCAGTAGGTCAGCATGGTTGTTCATCAGTGTTGCAGTAGGTCAGCATGGTTGTTCATCAGTGTTGCAGTAGGTCAGCATGGTTGTTCATCAGTGTTGCAGTAGGTCAGCATGGTTGTTCATCAGTGTTGCAGTAGGTCAGCATGGTTGTTCATCAGTATTGCAGTAGGTCAGCATGGTTGTTCATCAGTGTTGCAGTAGGTCAGCATGGTTGTTCATCAGTGTTGCAGTAGGTCAGCATGGTTGTTCATCAGTGTTGCAGTAGGTCAGCATGGTTGTTCATTAGTGTTGCAGTAGGTCAGCATGGTTGTTCATCAGTGTTGCAGTAGGTCAGCATGGTTGTTCATCAGTATTGCAGTAGGTCAGCATGGTTGTTCATCAGTGTTGCAGTAGGTCAGCATGGTTGTTCATCA